TGTTGTAAGCCACATTGGTCTACACTTTTTGATGCAGCAGTAGATTCGCAAATCTTAGCGGAAAAGTTTCTCCGCTAAACTATTTCTTGAACCTGCTAGTAGTGGTTATTACACGTCAGAGCAAGAGCGCTTTTGCAGAAGTTCTCAACCTTACAGTCGGAAGTCAATGTTTATGATTTGTTGTGACTACAGGAAATATGCTGCGATTGTATAACTCATTCTGCATCTCTGCAGTGAATGTGTTCTCGTAATGCATAGGCTGCTAATGCCATCCTTTGTTTAGGTTCGGGCTATCAACTCTACTTGGCTTCGCAGATGTGATGCGTCACATTTTCTGACTAATAATGCTCGGTTTCTCAATCAGTTCACACCATATCACACCATTTTCTCGTCTTTACCTGAAAGTTACTTCAAACTATTTTGGAAAACCCGACTTGCTCTCTATTATGTATACACCAACATCTCATCACATTACGACTGGTGAGCTACCATATAAAGACATCGCAGTAATACATGTTCATCATTTAGGTACTACAAAGCTGATGATGACACTTATGTCGTCGTGGAGAATCTCAGAGCATATCTGGCCACTCTTGATCCCAACAAGCCATACTATATAGGCTTCCGCGTGAAAAGAAGAATGGTGAATCTCTTTGCTTCAAGACGATAAGTTCTAGAGCTCCTTTTTCTTCGATCTATAAAGAAGCTCTAACTCGCATGTTTGATGCAAAAGTTTTGGCTGGTTTCCACATTACATGATGAAGGATATTACTGCTTAGGTTCTGCTTTCAATTCGCTTTTAGAATCATCACTTGGAAAATGTGTCACTCGCGTAAGCGAACAAAATTCTGAAAAGGAAGAATTTGTGTTTGCAGCGATAATATACCTAATTTCAAAAGTTGGTAACCAACCCTTTTCAGCCGAAGCATGGATATAATGCTGGCGGAAGTGGTTATGCGATGAGTCGAGCAGCAATGAAAGTGTTCGCTGAGCAATTGTTCCATCGAAAATCTCTCTGTCCGTATCATGAATGGGAGGATTTAGCTGTAGCCAGGTACATCTACTGTTCATTCCATCGCCTTGCAACTTGTAATTTCAACGGGACAGTGGAATCCAGGAAATCTAGACGTTATTAGTAGCAATGTACAGTTTTGCCATATCTTGAGCAAATAAGTTTAATGTGGATTCATTGTCCAGCACTCGTTAATTTTGATCTTAAAGGCAGTGTCCGGGCAAAAGCTCGATCTTTACAAAATCCACTTACCAGGGGTTATCCGCAACGCTGAATCCG